GAACAGCCGAACATACATAGCTAGATCGACGTAACTCGGCAAGATAGGAAGATCCGTATATGTTTGCTATGTCTTGGACCAACATTTCCAGGTGTTACATTCTTTTTGGCCCAATCAAAACTTTTACAACACTGTTGGGGGTATAACATAGTGTTGTATGTTATAATAATCAAATAATCGAAACGTTTTAAGTAATTTCATAAAACAGGATGTTGAAAGACATATTTGTTCAATAATATGATGAAGTATATTTAGGTTTATATGCAAAAGGTACTGTTTCCTAAACAAGAAATTTCAAAAATGAATTGAACAAAATATTAAGCACTTGCATTAATTTTTATGTAGAACTTGCTAAAAAATTGACCCAAAAAGAGTAATGAAGACGATAGCCGACTCGTTGTTAGTTATTTTTGGAGATTTTGCAACTTTTAAGAAAATAAAGGACAATCTTTAGAATCCGAGCTAGGGAGTTAAACTTTCTAAATTTTGAAGAAATTTTTAAAATGTTTGTAGATCACCTTCGAAATATTGGAATGAAAAATAAAGAATGACATCAAGCTTGATTATTTATTATTTTTTATACACAACTGAATTTGTTTTCCTATCCTTTCTTTTCCTTTTCCCACTGTTATTTTGTTATAAGTCAAAAATGTGTTTTAATTTAATAATTTTTAAGTTTCCGAGTTTTTGCCGATTATGCCGATTTTTTTCTGCAAAATTTTATTGGCAATCCCGCCGCCGTATCATTTGCTCTTTGATATTGCTTGATTGATAACAAAAACAGAAGCAGGCAACGGAAAGTAATTTTTCTTGAAATTTTTTTCTCCCTCTCTTTAGCTATTTGCTTTGTTTCTTCTTGAACTTAAGTTCTTAGATAAGCATTGAAAAATTCAAGCAAATTCAAACCCTAGCCCTGGTTATGAAAACATTGTGTAATTAAATTAATTTCATTTATCTTTTACGACAGAGGAATGAAATTAAATAAAGATCTTTAGGTACGCGGGTTTCGATTGGATACACTTAATAAATTTCACTTTCCTAGAAAGTTTGGAAACGAAAAACTTGTAATCGCATAAAAACTTAATCAAAATTATCAATGATAATACTACTGTTTACTCAAATAAATATTTCTAGAATAAAGGAAAGACACATTTACTTGTATAGAGATATTACGGGGTTCCGTTTGCAAATGGTAACACTTATAGATTTTTGCACTTTTTAACATAAAATACTTTCAGATTTATGAAATCCACTCGATCTCAAATATCAATTCCATAGCGAATACTTCAAATAAAATCGATTGATATCCAGATTCACGTGACGTATATGCGATGGAATTGACATTTAAAATGGAATGGATTTAGTAGTATAAACACGCTCATAGGCACTGCGTTAAAAAATACAATATTTTTTAGATGTAGTTGGTTTATGCTGATTATATAATAAAAGAATGTACTATATACAGGGCGAGATGAAAAAATTGCAAACAACATCAGACTGCTGTAATACCTAAGCCACTCGTCCGACAGCTGTTAAAATTATTCCGGTGACAGCTCATTATATTGTTTACAAGCGTACAAAAGCTTTTTGGTGAGAATTTTCCAGAAAAAAGTTTTTCGTGATGAAATTCAAGCGTGATAGTGTGATTGGCTGGGAAATCGCAAGTGGCTATCGTCAGAGCACTCCAGCATTTAAATATGAATAAATCTTTTGTGTCTCGTACCATCGTTCGTTACCGTGATACTGGTAGTGAGCCCGACGTCAAGGAAGTGGACGAAAGAAAACAGCAACATCAGCAGAAATGGTTCGAATAGTAAAGAAGCGACTTGATCGAAATACTCCATTCGGAAATGTTGAAAAATGAGCTCGGGGTAAAGCCATTGAAATTTCAAAAACGAATTTGGTTTTCTCCGATGAGAAAATATTCGTTGTCCAGCAGTTTGTAAATAAACAAAATGACCGTGTTTACTTGCCAAAGAGGTCATCTGAAAATGTGCACCTTAGGCTGGCCACCAGAACTCAAGCGCCGGCCATGGTGATGGTGTGGACCGCCTAACAGCTGAAGGTCGCTCTCGGCTCGTATTAATCGACCGTGGCATTAGAATAAATGCCGAATATTATAGCGAAAATATTCTGGAGGGTGTAATAAATCCAAATAAATCCAAACGCAAGTATTTTGGCAGCAGAACTTGGACATTCCAACAGGACTCGGAACCATCCCACTCAGCACACCCCACCTAAGAATGGTTACAAAATGAAGTTCCCCGCTTCATTTCCAGCCCTCAATGGTCACCACGAACTCCGGATACCAATCCGTTGGACTATTGTGTGTGGAGTATCACTAAAAAATACCAAAGTGTCGATCACCTCAAGCAAGCGCTTCGGCGGGAATGGGCCGAAATATCGCTGAGCAACATTCGGGCAGCGTGTTTGAAGGCTATAATTCCTGCCAAAGGTGACCAATTCGAACAAATCTAAAATTTTTCTAAAATTCGATGCTATTTCCGACATTTTCAATTCATTCAATAAAATTAAAAAAATGTAAAAATTATGGCATTTGACTTTGTTGCAGTTTTTTTTTATTTCACCCTGTAGTCGTAGGCTGGATTTTGGCCTTATTTGCATCCTAATATATCTGTTAAAATGCTGTTGTGTGTTTTGTGGCTTTAAATCGAACTAGAAACCTAACAATTGCACAAAATCCAAACATCATTTATTGTGTTCCTCCCCTTTTTAAAGGTAAAACTGTTTAGCCAATCATTGCAATAAACAATGAGTCATTAAAAAACACATTAGACATTGTGGATTTTTTATACGAACTTATTATTTTTTCCTTTCATAAAATGACATTTGGACTATCACATGCAAAGTGCAAAGTCATACGCAATGATGTGTATGTAATACAAGTAAAATTGCAACTTACTTTTAATACCCCCCACCATTTGGAAGGAACTTCAAAATTTAAAAAAAATCGTCGAAAAATACCGGCTAAGTGTAAACCGTTTTATGGGGGACATACGAAGATTAGGACATGACATTTTTTTTGCCATAGGTTTTAGCACCCAATATATCTTGGAATACGAAACTTGAAACAATTCCCGCAAAAAATGTCACTAAAATTATCAAAATACCGTATATTGGGAGTTACCGTTATATATTCACCAACACGGTCCATTAACGAACTTAACCTGCTTATTGGCAAAATACACGTGTTTGCAAAATGTTAGCCTTCTATCTCAATTCGTTCGAAAGATAGCGTGATGGTTGGGTCTAACATGAGTGTTTTGAGGAAGTTTAAACGGAATGACAATATTAAAATAACATCCACAGTAAGGGCCATGTCGGTCAACCTTTTAATATAGCCCCTATATAACGGTATCTCTCAATATACGGTATTATGATGATTTTAGTGACATTATAGAGCGGACTCGTATCAAACTACGTTTTGAAAAATGTTAATGGACACTAATACCTATGACAAAAATTACTTATTCAGGTCCACGTCTTTTTATAGCTCCTATATAATAATATCTACCGACATTCGTTATTTTTTGGTTTTAGAGACATTATAGAACAGAATTGTTTCATGGTATTTAATACTCGTAATGGGTACTACACACACAGACCCACGTCTTCGTATGGGCCCCATAAATCGGTACCTCCCAAGATTCGGTATTTTCATGATTTTAGCGTTATTATTCAAAGATTGTTTCAAAGATGAAGTTAATGTGTACTACAACTTATGACAAAAAATTGCCTATGCGCGTCCACGCCTTCCTATAGCCCTTATATATACCTTATACCTCCCGACATTCGGTATTTTTATGATTTTAAAGATTTTATTAACCGGAATTGTTTAAAATTTCGTATTTAAAATTCATAATGGATACGACAACTTAGCCGTTTAGCCCATATATAACAGTACTTCCCTTTATTGGTATTTTGATGATATTCACCGGAATTCTTTCAAATTTCGTATTTTAATTTTGGAATCGGTACTACAGCCAATGACAAAAAATTACTTATGAAGGTCTCGTCTTCGTATATCCCCCATATAACGATTTTTATTTAGTATTTTTCGACGAACATTTTTTTAAATTTTTGCAAATTCTTTCCAAATGGTGGAGGGTATTAAAAGCTCTGCTCGGCCGAACTTAGCTGCTTTTATACTTGCTCTTTTTATAAATATAACTTTATCTTTCAATCAAATTTTCGTAAACGGAACGGTTGCATAATAAAATCTGATGAATATTTCAAATAATTAGTTACCTTCATATGATATTTTTTTCAACTCAGAAAATTTAAAAGCGACACAGATTTGTTTATTCTAATCACTCAAAAATATCGGCTTAAATAATTTTCTGGAATGTTAAGTTACTCACTATCATATTGTACTTTTACGTCTTAATTAAAAAAAGCGAAATCAGAAAGTTAAGAAGGCAGTTAATAAAGTAATTCACTAATAATTCGCGAAAGAACTAACTGAGAAATTTTACTGGAAATGAAACAAATACATACCTACTAATATGATTTTTTTTTCAACCACATTTGCTCACTTTACAATTCAATCTGTTAATCAGCTGGTCATTATTGGGGACGTTATTAATGGAACATCGACCATATTACCTTAGCCTTACTGTTAAAATTATTGCAATTTTAAAAGTGACAATTGAAAAGTGCTAATACAAATTTTAGGATATTTACAATCTAAAAGAAGTTTTTCACTGTAATTCTTTCTGTTATTTTGGTTACCTTCAATGAAAAATGTGATTGTTCAATTTTATAGTCTTTTCCTTGAATATAAGATTCTCTTTTTAACATACATTTATGTATAAGTAAGAAACTTCACGCCAATTTTTTAATTAAATATATTCACATGTTTGCTGTTTTAATGTCTACTTGGTTGACTTTTAGTGTCTTATAAATTGTTTTGATATTTTCACTCGCCACTTTTTCAGACATTTATATTTATTGTCCTTTTTTATTTAATCTTCACCTACCGATTTCAGTATTCACATATATCACTAGAATTCCTACCGCGAGTAAAAGAGGACTTTTTCGGGACAACATGTTGTCCAAAAAAAATCGCACGGATTATACGCGCTCCAAATATTGTGTTTGACTAATTGGTGCGATCAAAGTGGTTGCCTTTATATAGACTTGGTACGAAACAATAGGAAACATAATAAACGTATATTCATATACAAATTATTAGTTTATTGTACGAAATCCAAAATGTGTAGTTGCTAGTACGTTAAGCTTGATAAAATTAGTCCGTCCACACATTCTGTATTGGCCATGTTTTTATTTATGACCGTCGAAGTGCCAGCAATTTATTCCTGATCGTTGCGATTAGAGTTATCGCTCGCTTGGTTGCTCGTTTTATGACTTTCTTCCAATCGATATAATATTGTTAATTTCGGACATAAAATAATGAACCTTTCTCGTCAAATAATGCAGAAGGAAAACAAAATTTTCGCATTCGATTTCTTATCAAACGAGTTGATACTGCGATTAGATTTCAAATGTGAGTATAGGAATATTTTTCACAGTTTCTGTGTATTTAATTGTTGTTTGTAACAAATCAGTAATTGCAACTTGTAACAACCTCCACCATTTTTCCCCCTAAAATGTTTCGTCATTGAATGATTATGATTATATTGTTGATATCAAAACTTGAAGTACGTACTATTTTTGTATACTCCAATTTTTGATCAAGAAATATTTCTTATAAAGATAAAGCAAAATATTAGGTTAATAGGTAGGTGGAACGTAACATATTACACATATATATTTACTAATAAGCTGAAGCTAGTATGATACAATTGATTGCATAGTTTGTATTATTTCAGAATTTTAATCAAATGGAACAAACATCTAATCTAATGACGAATATGGGAATATGGGGAAGTCCAAGTACTTGGATAGTCACAGTTGTCATAAATTACTATTATAAGGTATATAGCTTTTGTTATTAAGTTTGCAACATTCAACAGGTAGAGTGAAAAATGGTTCCAAATAGAATATTTGAATTTATTATGTAACGACGTACTCAGGCCAATTCATTAACAATAACATGTATACATTACATTGCAAATAAATTTAAATAAATGTTAGCTTATTTCGATTCATTTATTTTGTAAATTCATGGTTCTTAAACATATTTTACTTCCTTTAGAAGAAGTCACTTCAATAATCCAATGTACTCTTGGACCAAAGTGATAAACTCGTTATATCAATATAAAATATTTGTAAGTTCATATAAATATATGTTTATTAAATGACACTCTCCGCGTCGCACAGAACAAAATGCCTCATAGTAGTAATTTACTAATGGGAATTTATTGAAAACATATAAATTAAAAGGAATTTTGGTATTAATACGTCAAAATAAGAGGATTTAAGTCCTACAATTGTAGATAATCGCTATTTTGTTTATAATTAATTAATCATATTACGATCAACTATTTAAAAATTAAAAGCATCGGTTGCTACAAGAGTATATTGCCGATAGGGAAAGTTTAGTCGGAACCAACAACACTTTGTTTCTATATTGTCAAGTTAAATGTTAACAATACGTTAAGTTGAACCGTGCGAACATTTTATAACCGTCCAAACAGACGAAGAAGACCTTTAAAAATAAAATTATACGGACTCAGTATTCTAACCTACTTCATTTTAAACTGCAAATCCCAGCGAAATTGGTTGGAGAATTTGTTAAAAAAATCAAACCTTGAATTGGTAATATTGTGAGTTTCAAGTACCAAATTTGAAACAATTATATTGAAAATGTGGCAAAAATTATGAAAAAAAATATGAATCGGGAAAAAAGATTTTTTTTCGAAAAAATCTGAGAGAATTGTAATTTTGGAATTTCGAAAAAATTAAAGTTGTGGTGAGTCGTACTCGGTTTGTGCCCATTTGCCAAATTATAAATGGGCACAAACCGAGTACGACTTTATTTTTTTTCGAAATTCGAAAATTGCAATTCTCTCAGATTTTTTCGAAAAAAAATCTTTTTCGAATATCTTAGAAATTTTATCAAATTTCGAAAGAAAATTTCGGCACAATTGAGCACAATTCAGCACAACTTTCCTTTTTTCGAAATTCGATATATATATATATATATATATATATATATATATATATATATATATATATATATATATATACTGCGTTTCTAATGGTTTTGTCTTTTACGCATTAAAGTAGTGCAATATATGTTTTTTAATTTTTAAATTTGTTTTTTTTTTTTTTTTGAAATCGTAAATAAAATTTTGAATGCATATAAAATCAAAAGGTGTAGCGAAGCGCACCGGGTTCAACTAGTATATATATATATATATATATATATGTATATATATATGTATACAAATGTATATATATATATATATATATATATATATATATATATATATATATATATTTACTTTTATACCAAATTCCGCCACACCTTCCATATTTCATTGAAATTGGTGCGTCAAATATGTGAAATCGGCCGAGAATATATATATATATATATGGGAGCTATATCCAAATCTTAGCGTATTTGAATATAATTTGTTAAATTTATTTTTGTGCCAAATTAAGTCACTCATGCCGAATTTCATTGGAATCGGAAATCCGTATCGTGTTTTGCGCATCAAATATGTGAAATCGGCGGAAAATATATATGGGAGCTATATCCAAATCTGAACCGGTTTTAATATAATTTGTCTAATTTACTTTTCTAGTCAAAATCCCGTTACATATTCCAAGTTCCTTTGGAATCGAACATACATATCGTGTATGGTGCATAAATACATGCAATCGGTCGAAAATATATATGAGAGCTATATCCAAATCTGAACCGATTTTTATATAATTTGACAAATGTACATTCGTTTTAATTTCCGCTACACATTCCAAATTTTATTGAAATTAGAGATACATAGCGTGTTTGGTGCATCAAATACATGAAATCGGTCGAAAATATATATGGGAGCTATATCTAAATCTGAACCGATTTCAATATAATTTGACAAACTAATTTTTGCTCCCAATTCCGTTACTTATTTTAAATTTCATTAAAATTAGAAATACATGTCGTGTTTGGTGCACCAAATACATGAAATCGGCCGAAAATGTATATGGGAGCTATATCCAAATCTGAGCCGATTTCAATATAATTTGAGAAATCAATTTTTTAGATGAAATCCATCATACGTTTCAAATTTCCTTGAAATTGGGGATACATAGCGTGTTTGGTGCATCAAATGCTTGAAATCGGCCGAAAATATATATGGGAGCTATATCCAAATCTGAACCGATTTCAATATAATTTGACAAATTTATTTTCGGATCAAATCCCGTCACACATTCCAAATTTCATTGGAATCGAACATTCATATCGTGTTTGAGGCATCAAATTAACAAAATCGGTCGAAAATATATATGGGAGCTATATCCGAATCTGAACCGATTACAATATAATTTGGCAAACTTATTTTTGTTCCAAATTCCGTTACGCATTCCAAATTTGAAGACTATATCTGTAATCGATCAAGTGGAATTTCAAAAATGTATATAGCCTATGTTACTTTCAGGCGATGTTGCAGTATACATCGAAATGTTCAGGAAAATCTGTTCAGCGGTTTTCGAGGCCATAAACAACAAACAAACAAACATACAAACATTTTCCTCTTTTTTTTTGTAAGGGCCCGTATTTTAAGTAAGGGACCATATATATATATATATATATATATATATATATATATATATAAATTTCAAATATATATATATATATATATATATATATATATATATATATATATATATATATATATATATATATATATATATATATATATATATATATATACTAGCTGGCCAGGTCCGCGTTGCCGGCCCGTAGTTTTTGTCTATTATGCATATATTCCCAAGCATAATTATTCACAGATATGACTGATATAAGTGTTCACGTACAGGTCGATTTAAAGTGTTTTAAAATACCTGTACCCATTTTTAACCAGTGGGCTTCAATATTTAAACCGTGGGCTTCAACTGTGTGGATGTGCTATACAAATCTATTAAAAAGTATATATCAATCTTATCGCCATATAAGGAATCAAATTAATTTTTAATATGGAAAAATCGTAGCAAAATCTTCCAGTCAAATGAGCAGTAATTTGGAATTTGCTGTATTTTGTATACTACATAATTGAGGGCTGAATGATTTAAGAATAGCCAAAGTTAATTACTTTTTTAAACCCATTAGCAACTTAGATTGTGCATTAGAGTCCTCATAAGTCCCCCTAACCATGTCAGTCTGTTTGTCCGCCAAAAGGTGGACTTGAGAGGGTATTATAACATGGATAAAAATTCTAAAATTTGTAGATATGTTGAAATTTTAGTGTAAGATTTTCACCCCCCTAATACGCATTATTAGCCAAATTCTTTGAAATGTGGTTAAATTAGGAGGTACCTTCTTTATATGGGCACTACTCCGAAATATCGACCTACATTGAAAACTTTCTTCTACCCCTTATAATCCAAGATGACAAATAGAGGCCAAATCAAAAATATAGCAGAACAATATAGCATGTCATAGCATTTCGCGTGATTTAAATAAGTAAAAATAGTTTTATCCACCTCATAATTGAGGGCAGAATGATAAGATGGGAATTAATTTTATTTGCCATTTAAATTGTAAGTTGGAGACCCCTTAAAGTCCATATTTTCATCATAGGATAATTCAATGATGATTAAACAAATATTCGGTCCCGTGCTACTTTCTTATATTTGTAATTTCTTCATGTTTCCACAATTTATTTCATATGGATGCACATCCCAAATCTACGTTCCCAACCAATATTCTCTTGGGGGTTAAAAATTCAATAGAATACAAAATTTTCTTTTCTGACCACACATTAGATGTGAAAGTGGACTTGGGGATACTCCAATGTGGGGACTTTACTTAAATAAATTCCTATGTGGCAATTATCTGTATGATGGTTCCCTACCCCAGGGTGGCATAAATAAAATTTTTTAGCCAAATCAATTGATGAATTTGGTCAATACCAATATGGGCCCTACTCTGAAAATTTCAAATTTTATGCGAAGAGGTTATCTACCCCCTTAGAAACAAAAATGTCAAATAAGGGCCAAAAAATGAAAAAAGTGGCCGGCCAAGACCCCAAAAATAACTTAAATCATAGATGGTTATATAAATATGAAATCGGGTTGTTCCCTTATCCATGAGTTATGATCGATATAAAGACCTGCAAAAGTGATTTTAGGTATTTTGAATGTTTGGGAAGAATTTCTGGAAGGATATAAAACCTTTTCTTACTAAAAGTCCC